CTGTACTGTATGCGTGACCAAGTGTCAGATTTTTTTTTAACGTTTAGCGATTGCTAAATAAAATGGCAGCAGCTGCACAACACATTTTTTTTTACAAGAAACACAGTACAAGTCACCGGTAACTGGCATTTTAAGCCTGATCACAATGAACACTCTACGCTGTAGAGGCTGCAGAAAACACCGATATCGGATACATTGACTTCTAACAAGATTTTACTTCAGTCCGCTGATTCTTCTCAGTGCGATTCGTACCGCACGTAATCTCTTTTTTTACTCTTCAAAATGATGATGTACAGTGAGTAACCATTTCTGCAAAGTTTGTCGGATTTCTTTTCCCGAACCTCCCTTCTGCTCATTTCCAATTCTGCTGCATCAAACTCCACTTCCCAGCATACCTTTATCCGAGTTTTTGTGTTCATGAACCTCTTTGTGGCAGTCGTGTTGTATTTAGCAGCACTCCAATCTGTGCATGGTGATACAATTAATCATGACGAAGTGGAGCCATTGCCCTGAAACCTGTAACGGTATCGGAAACGGTAGCACTTAAGTTCAAACCGATGCTACTAATTGACGGTGGGTGCGTGTCGTTCCCAGCGGTGAATGTGGCTGGGGAGACCAGTGGCGGACTAAAGCCGTGGAAATGGGACTGACGGCTGCGAGGAAGCACCCCTGGGCTCACAAGTTTACGGCCGATCCTCGTGGTACGAAGATAAATGGGCAATGATGTTCGCATGGTACTTTCCGAAAGCCTTTTGGGCTGGCATGCCCTCGAGACGACACGACTGGGCGAGTATGGTGGTGTAGATTGACAATCCGGACTTGGAGACACCAAAAATTCTTGGTGTATCGCTGTCGACGTCAACAAACCGCTATTCGAGGGACACGGGATCACCTTCAGAGGGCTATTCTGCTGGTTTCCAAATATATGGCAGACGTGGCAATCTAACTCGCACCCCTGGTTCCAACACTTCGATTAGAGTTACTCATTCGACTGAGCTGGCCTTCAGCTCAGCGTATTTGGACTTTTCCGCCGAAGATGGCGAGTATCAGGACCTCATCATGTGGGAACAACTTACGGAAGAAGCGCGGCTGGCTCCGGATTCAACGGATTTTGGTAAATCAAAGGTGCCGTTTAACGAAGACAATTTTGGCGACAAGCTCGAGAAAGCATGGCCATTCTAGATGGCCTCTCTAGTCCGCCGTCGAATACACTTTCAAGGTCTTTTAATACAAGCATAGGATGTTGCTAGCTACAGCTGTAGGTAAGTGGCAGCAATGTGCTTTAAATAATCAAACTGACATTCGACGTAGTGAACAAATGGTGTTGCCCTTTTAAAGGCACCTTCATCATCAACACCAGCCTGGTTGTCGTCGCTCCGTGTCGACACGCGAGAACGGCGGTGTATGCGACTCTCACTGGACTTCCGACGTCCCGTGATCGCCAACTCTTCCTCATCACCGCAATCATCCATAGCGTCCTCCAGACTCTCAGCCGACGTCGTGTTCTCCTCGTCCTCTTCCTGCTCACTCTCCACGTAGTTTGACACCATCTGAGCCAGCAAGATCTTCGTCGCCATCAGTGGCCACACTAAATCCAAATTTGCATTTGATCTTGCGCCCACATCGCCCAGGAAGGATGCACGGTCAGCTATCAGGAAGAAACGTGTATCGCTAGAAAATCAACGCGTTCGCAAAGCACCAAAAAATTGTTGCTACATCACAGAGCTCGATATTTGTTACTGTTTTATAAAAATACCTTGGCTCCGGTGCCGCCATGTTATAAAGATGCAAAAAAATAAAAACACAAATTGCTGGTAACGAAATTCCCTTCAAATTGTTAACCTTTTCAAAGTCGAAGTAGCTTCCATTGCACCAGAAATGCAATGGTGAGACGTCTTGCTGACTGTCTTCTCAGTCCAGTCACAGTAACCCATACAGCACTAAAGGCAGCACAGAAAAACCTAGAAGAAGATCTGCACGGCGGGGCCCATAGTGGACTTGAGGTACAGCACCTTGATGTTCTGCCAGTTCTTCTTCAGCAGCGAGGCCAGGAAGTTGGCAGCCAGCTGCGTGTTGACCACAATCTGCTGCTTGTCCAGACCCACGTGGCCAATGGCGACGTTGAGGCACATGACCTTCTTCATCTGGAACTTGATGGTGGCGCGCACGGCCTCGGCCTTCTCGGTCAGCGAGTCGTTGGACGTCACGAGGGTCGGGAACTTGCCGGCCTTGTTAAGACCCGGGACCTAACAGACGCGGGATCTGCTTGATGAGCGTGTCGGAGGCCAGGAAGGCGTCGTACTTCTTGGCAAACTTCTTGATAACCTTCTTGTTCTTGTTGAACTTCTTGAGGTCGTCCACCGTCATGAACTCAAAGCCCTCCTTCTCGGCCATCTCGCAGTGCACCGCGTTACCGAGCACGCAGATCTTCATGTTGGGGCGCGGCACGGTGGGCAGCTTGAACGTGCCGCTGAAACGCTTGTCTTTTTGCGGGTCGTAGTTCTTGAGCGCGATCTGCAGCTCGATGGTCTCGTTAAAGTTACGCTTCTTGCCCTTGAGCTCGTCACCGTTGATGGTGACGGTCTCGCCGGCAGAGAAGGCCAGGATGTCGTCCACGGCCTGCGACAGCAGCTCGGAGTTCAGCTTGCTCATGCTTCCTTTGGAGGGTGGCGGGAGGCGGTCGGGGCGCTTCTTCGACGATTCAAAGGGAGAATGACTCGGAGCTGGTCGAGACTCCCGCCGGGAGGGCGTTGGTTGGCTCAGCGGACGGCACGCGACTAAGTACGAAGACGACTGGGAAGTCACAGATGGAAGTCTGGGAAGTCGGATAAGTGTTAGAAACGTTTCTGAAACTACTTGATTTTTTATTAAGGAAAAATGGCTGTTGCTGCTCAGTTGTTTAGTCCAGTCGTTCGGCCCGTTGTCAAAGTCGTCAACTCGCACAGGGAAGTGGAAGATGTTTGCTCGAAGCTAAACGCAGCACAGTTGATGTTAGCCCAGCACGAATCGCAGCACGAGTGCCACGACTGAGCATTTCGGAGGCCTGTCGTCGAGGAAAAGATTCCACCGTTGAAGTAGCGGACCTTGTTCTCCACCCCAATACCGTTTGTACCTTGGTTAGTGCACGGCGATTCTGGCGGCGACGTCGTCGGCGGCTGTGTGGTAGGGGGCTCATCTGTGACCTCCTCAGTCGGAGGCTGCGTTGTCACGGTGGCTGCGTTGTCACGGTGGCTGCGTTGTCACGGTGGCTGCGTCGTAACATTCTCGGTCGGAGGCTGTGTCGTAGCATCCTCGGTCGGTGGTGGCTGCGTCATAGCATCCTCGGTCGGAGGCTGTGTCGTAGCATCCTCGGTCGGTGGTGGCTGCGTCATAGCATCCTCGGTCGGAGGCTGCGCTGTGACTGCTTCGGTCGGAGGCTGCGTGGTAACCTCATCGGTAGGACACGGTGTTGAGACTTCATCAGTCGGGGTCTCAGTCAGAATCGCTTCAGTTGGGTATTGCGTTGAGACTTCCTGTGTTGAAAACTCCGTCGGCACTACTTCAGCCACTTATTCCGTCGAGCCATCTTTAATGGGATATTCTGTCGGAGCGAGGACGACGCTTTACGGAAGCGTCCTCGCTCGGGTATGGTGCTAAAGCCTCCTCAGTCGGGTAGGATGTCGAGGTCTCTTCGGCTGGGTAGGGCGCCAGGATTTCCTCGGTTGGGTACTCCGTCGACACTTCCTCAGTGGTCTCAGTCTCATCGGTTGACTACAGCGTCGAGGTTTCTTCTGTAGGGAACTGCGTTGACTCTTCCGTCGGGCATGGCGTTAAAATTGTGTCGGTTAGGTAGTGTGTCGAGATATCGTCGATTGGGTACAACGTCGGCACATCTTCGGTCAGATACTGTGATTAGACCTCTTCAGTCTGGTATTGCTCTTCCATCGGATACTCGGGCTTCTTCACTTGGGTACTCTGCTAAAACGTCCTCAGTTGGGTAGTCTCCCTCCGTCGGGTAGTTCGTCAGTACTTTATCGATCGGACACGGTGTCGAGACTTTCTCGATGGGGTTTGCGTTGAGACTTCTTCACTCGGGTAGGGCGTCAAGACTACTTCGGTCGGGTAGGCTTTCTCGGTCGAGTACGGCGTCCATTCTTCTTCGGTCGGGTATGCCACGGACTCCTCTTCTGCCAAGTACCCCGTCGAGGAAATTACGGGCGGGTACGATGACAGAACTTCCTCAGTCGGGACGGCGTCAGAATTCCCGCACCAGGATATAACACTGAGACCTTATCGGCTGGGTACTGCGTCGAGTTCTCTTCGGTCAGGTAGGGCGACAGTTCTTTCTCTGTCGGATAAGGCGTCAAGACCTCCTCCGTCGGGCAAGGCGTCAGACCTTCCTTAGTCGAATACGGTGTTGAAGATTCTTCGACCGGGCAGGGTGTCAAGCTCTCCCCGGTCGGGTAGGACGCCGGGACCCCTTCCGTCGGAGGACATGGACTCTTCTGCGCCGTCGCATCGTGTCAACCTGATCACCTTCACCATTGTCGGTAGTCGTATCGGGTCGTTCCCCACCATATGCGGCAGTGGTCTCCGAATCGACACCCGAAGTGTATTCCTTCTTCAGGAATGAACAACCCCATACGTCGCTTTGGATGAGAACGCAGTGGGCATCCGCAGGGGCGACGCAGTCCGTGCCGTTAAAAGACAGTAGGTAAGGACGACAATCGGCGGTGGCGACGTCGCCGGCCTTTGAAGCCATCCATGAATTCGAAAAAGCCTGCCACAGTTGTGACCATCACCGGCATCCTCGCTGCCGAACTCACGTCCGCCGACATCCCGATCTCTGTGCAGTATGATGCGACCTACTCGCTGTCGGAATTTCATGATTTACCCTGCTCTGGCGAAGGGCCAAACCCAGCAGGCAACTCGTGCCCCAAGTGGCAGTAGTAGAAACAGGAGAGCTGCGGTAGTTGTCAGCACCGAAGAGGAGGTTGAGGAATGAACTCTGGGACAACCGATGCGCGGTCGTACCGAACTTGGCCCCCCTCGTACGTGTCTTCTCATTGAAGATAAATTACCTAACGTTTTGGACGGATAGATTATGGAAAAGTGTCTTCATTTAATTGCCGTTTTCATAAAATAGAAATGCATTGGGATAACTAAACCTCTGCAATGTAGGCATAGGTACCTGTCATGTATCTTACTTATTACGGTGGAGCTGAATAGCGGCTGTGACGATCTCGACATTTGTTTGGACTTCGCAAAAGTGTTTGAGCTAAATGAAGTTTCCAAAGTACTGTACTTGTAGTATCCACTTATCATCAGCAAAAAAATATA